AAACCAAATGATGTGATTAGTACGTAAAGGAGTCCCCGTGGCCGCTACCTAATTTTATAAAAGAACAATCAGGAAAAGACAAATGCAGTTGCCGGGACACTTGAATAGATTAAAGGTCTTGAACATCTAATTCTCACTGTCAAAATTGAAGGCAAACAACGCAGGGGTAAATCCAGATGCAACCTTCTAGGAGAGTCTAAAAAGATGCGTGACGGGGGAAAGATCAGGATAATGTAGCTTTTTTAAGAGAGCATCCGAACAAAGGAATAAATGGAGAACCATAACCACCCATGTCTGTCACAGATCTGGCATTTGATGGCTATAAACACCGCTAGCAACACTGTAAGGGTATTTATTTAAGAAGCGGAACTTCCAAATGTAACGTCCATCTCTGATAGGACTGAGCCAAATGGAGAAGCATATCATGAAAAGTACCTTTCCCAAGGACACAGCATCGGACCAGGCTGGGCCTCGAACCCCCTAAGACTGCAACTTCAGAATTGTATACCAGCCTGTTATCCTTCAAGCATCAATTTAATTCAACAGCATGAATAGTAGAGATCACAACTTATAAAGAATGTAAACCTACGCGTGAGCCTACTGAAGATCAGCATACCTTTCAATTGACTTATGATGAGTATTTTAATGTAGGTGTTTTACTCCCCCACCGGCTCAATTTAAATAATTTAGGAGGCATGCTCCCGGCCCTGCCTGTCAGGGCCAGCCTGGGCTGAGAAAGATACAACATCCCAGCAAAAAAACTGAGATACTCGATAAAACGATACAAATTTAACGATTCAACTATACAAATGTCTCTCCACTAGGGAATCAAACTCGGGTCTCCTGCAGCAAAGTCAGTTAGTGCCTAACCGCTGCACCACAGACGCCGGTTAGATGAGTGTGCTGTGTGCATTGACTTGAACAGCTGCAAATTGGGAGGCATGATACTTCCACTCTCCTACTTTCAAGTGACGAATAATTTATTACTAGATCTTGATAGCTTCATTTAATTTTCTAAAAACCCCAAAAAACCAACACAACACCCCACCCACCACACACATATACACACACATTAAAACAAACCCCCCAAAAACACGTATAATGACGTCCAGCACTGACCAGTGCCATAGCGTTTGTTCCGTTGACACAGTTCTTGGTGAGCTCCGGGTGAGTACAGACTGGACACGAGTCCAGCGTACTGACCAGTCTCTCCCCACACACAGGCTTCATCCAGCTTTTGGCGGGAGCGAAGGTCACGTCTGTGGGGTTGGCCTTCATGTAGTCCAGTAGACTGGACAATTGGAAGTTGAACTCTGCCCTCTTCTTCCGGCTCATCGAGATGTTCATCTGTACACAAGGTTGTTTGTTTTTTGTTGTTGTTGTTTTTTTGTTGCTTGTTTGTTCATTGTTCTTTTCGTTGTTTTGTTGTTGTTGTTGGGGGGTGGGGGGTTTTTTTTTTGGGTTTTTTTATATCATGTTACTGTCTTTTAACAT